GGATCACGTGAAAAGCTAGGTTTACTTGAACCAACATGCGTTTTAATATATCTCAATGCAAGGTCATCTATCTAAGAACCAAGAGAATATGTAAGCCCCTTCATTTTCAGTTTAAACCAATTTTTACCAAAAAATTCTCAGGTTTTACAAGAAGTGGGTTTTTTTCCCGATTTTCACCCTACTTTGGTATCATTATGGTAATACATTAGTCTGCGTGTAAATGCAAAGCTGCCTGTTGAAGTAAGGCTATGTATTAGTCTAGAAGATACACACAATAAACAAACAGGCACGCATGTTCTGAAGTGTGCATGCATCTGAATGTACTGATGAATCTCACTCCCACCACATACACATTTCAAGATGTTAGCAGATGACTGTTTAAAGATTTGACACTAAAATGGGAAGAAACACAACAAAGTATTAAAAGGTTTTTAAAAAAAAAACAAACCAGGAGAAAAGGATGAAGTTGAGTGTGTGCGCTGCAAATGGTGTGGCCCAATTGTTAAATGTAAATATTTATAGGCTAATAGTTCTAAGTCTACAATAGTAAACTGTTTAATCCCCAAATAATTTTTTTTATTTGAATAGAGATACATTGTTTTCTTAAACTCAGAGGTGGCATTGTGTTTTGAGTTCTGTTTTAGTTCCTCATTGATGAATGGAATTCAAAGCATTAATCTACTGAATACTACTTCCCCCCCCCCCCCTTTCTGTCCACCAAAATCAACCCGTTATTTACCCAGAAAAATTAATAGGTTTTTACACTGATTTTCACCTGTTTTAGTTGTTGTGGTAATAAACACTGATAAATTGTCAGGAAAAATAAAATGAAATAAATGAAAATGAAGGGCCCTAAATATAGGTCACCCTTACTAGATGTGGGACTGTATTTTGGAAAGCAGTGTCTCAAAGAACCAAGATAGCAAATGCTTGGATGTATAAGGGGGAGCCTATCAATAAGAAGTGGAGAGGTGATGATATTCCACTGTATATGGCATTAGTGAGAACATCCCTGGAATATTATGTCCAGTTCTAGTGTAAACGCTTTAAAAAGGATGTTGGCAAATTTAGAAAGAGTTCAGAAGAGAGCTATGAGAATGATCCGAGGTCTGGAAAACCTGTTTTACTGTGAGGTTGAGAAGTTAAATTTGTTTAGCTAACAAGGAAGGGTCTGAGGTGACTTCCTCAGCTCATAAGACTTACATAGGCAGTAATGTCTAATCATAGATGGCTCTTTAGTCTACAAGACAAAGGCATAACAAGATGTAATGTCTGGAAGATAAAGCTAGACAGATTCAGCCTAGAAATAAGGTGAGGTTTCTTTAGTGAGGGTAATAACCATCAGACCACTTGATGAAATTCCAAGGCCAGTATTATGCAGGAGGTCAAAATTAGATGATCATAATGGTCCCTTCTAGCCTTAATATATGAATCCATGAATGATTTTGCAGCTAGGAACAAGGGAATCAGCACTATGTAACTAAGCTCTTCATGCAGATATACCATTACCACTAGCATATGTACAGATGGGGAACCTTTGATCTAGTCTGTGACACCTGAGAGAAGTCCATGGGCCCCATGGGTTCTAGTCCATATACTGAGTTGACTCAGGAACCTGGAAGCATTTTGTTTCCTCTTCACATGCAGTTAATAGCAGGTGACTGGGAGGGTGAGGACTGTGATCAAGTTATTTTAATTTATGTGCTCTCAGTGACCAGGTGTCTAGCTTCCTTGTGCATTCTTATACTTGTTTTCCCTGGACTAATAAATCTGTTAATCTCTCTGCCTATACATTCCCATCCACTTTTTCTCATTCCCCTATAGTTGGGATGATAGCCAGCTAGTGATGCGAGGCTGATTGGCAATTGGAGATGGCTGGATTTTTATAGGAAGACCTGGAAGCATTGCCTATAATTCAGATTGCCGGACACTTCCTATTATAAGACACTCTCTGTTTTCAGTGCTTATAACTTTGCTAAACTTTAACTGTTCTGGCTGAAATTTTTCCTGCTAGGTGTCTGCTTTTGGCTGAAATTTGTTGGAAAGTTTTTAAGCTAAGAGTTCATCAGTTCCCAAGAATGAGATTTGGAGAAAAATTGTGGTTTTGCCCATGTGAAAAAAGAAACACCAATTAACCCCTCCCCCTAGCTCTAGCCATCGTTTTCTTTGAGAAGCTCTATTGCTCCCATGTTTTTTGCATGTGTAATTTGTGTATGGCCATGAAATTGAGCACATCATTGTCTTATGTACCCACATGATCGTGGTCCCTTATTCTGTCTGTGCAACCCCTCTTCCCTCCTCCTGTTATACTTATTGCATCTTGTTGTTAATCAGTGTTGTCGTCTTAGGACAGAGAGAGTCTTTCTGTATTTGTAAAGCAACTGGTACAATGGGGCACTGTCCTACTGGGGCCACTATGTGCTATTGCAATACAAACAATAATGAGATGTATCCTTGGTCAGGCAACTCAGTTTTATGCTTGCAGGACATAACATTCTCTTCTCTAAATTCAATGCTTGAAAGTTTAACAGATTTTCAGTGTTGTTACCCAGGGTGTCTCATCCGTTTGAATCTCGTCAGTGGCCAAGTACAAACAAACCATACATTTTGTCTACAAAATTTAATTTTGTTGCAGATTTTTTCTTTACCAGAAGAGGGCACTCACCTCTCTCTCTCCAAGGGATCCTCTGGTGAATGGGCAAACTTTTATTGCAGTTATATGGGACTTTGGCACTACAGTACTTTCATAGGTGGCTACTTCTGTCGGTGTTCATTTCTAATTCCACTTGATTATCTCTGTAACACAGTGAGACAGGACCCCCACTTACTGTCATGGAAATAGAGTTGCTTTGTTGCTTTGCCTCCTTCAGGTTTTGTACAGATGTTGCCAGCTGCAGTAGAGAAGGGAGCTTGTGGCTTTCTTCTCTAGATTTAGAGTGTAAAATATTGTCCTCTTTAAATCTTTATTTTGAATAGCCTAGGTTTTAGGTGATTTTTTTTTCTTAAGGGTTCTGAATGGCAAATAGACAAGGAATCCAAAGATGAAGAGCAAGAGCTTAAGAAGCTGAGCGCTTAATAGGCATCTATAAACTTATGCCTTGGTTTTCTTTTGGTGTTCCTGACACTTCTATGTATAATAAACTTGTGCTTAAATGGATGATTGATAAAAATCTAATAATCCAAGTAATTACAGACCAGCCAGTAACAAGAAGGTTGGTAGTCAATAACACACACAAATCAATCAATCAATAACTTGTGTCTGACGTGCGGAAAAGTATTTCTAGCAGTTAATCCAAGAGAAATGGGCCTTTGGACCAGCCATGTATATGCACCAATTACTCAGTCAGCTGTGGAAAGGAGCATGAATGCTAGATTTTTGAATTAAAATTGGGAACAGGGATGTAGAATAAAAGGTAGCTCAGATGTATCCTGTAGTGGTAAGGTAGTTAAGGTCTTCCTACCTTGTCAGAACTACTTCAGCCACTGGAAGGGAAGCATCCTGTACTGCATTCTCATTTTGAGAAAAGGATAGAAGTTTCTGTGTGGAAGACTGTGCAGCCAGACTTCTTTTTATCTTGGAAAGAAGTTAATGATGGTGCTAATGGGGTGAATATGATGAGGCTCCTCAGTGCTCTTAATGTTCTACAGATTGTGTATGTCAGTCTTAGGCTTTATGTAGACATTACTGGAATGCAATCATAGAATCATAGAATATCAGGGTTGGAAGGGACCCCAGAAGGTCATCTAGTCCAACCCCCTGCTTGAAGCAGGACCAATCGCCAATTAAATCATCTCAGCCAAGGCTTTGTCAAGCCTGACCTTAAAAACCTCTAAGGAAGGAGATTCTACCACCTCCCTAGGTAACGCATTCCAGTGTTTCACCACCCTCATAATGAAAAAGTTTTTCCTAATATCCAATCTAAACCTCCCCCACTGCAACTTGAGACCATTACTCCTCGTTCAGTCATCTGCTACCATTGAGAACAGTCTAGAGCCATCCTCTTTGGAACCCCCTTTCAGGTAGTTGAAAGCAGCTATCAAATCCCCCCTCATTCTTCTCTTCTGCAGACTAAACAATCCCAGCTCCCTCAGCCTCTCCTCATAAGTCATGTGTTCTAGACCCCTAATCATTTTTGTTGCCCTTTGCTGGACTCTCTCCAATTTATCCACATCCTTCTTGTAGTGTGGGGCCCAAAACTGGACACAGTACTCCAGATGAGGCCTCACCAATGTAAAACCATTCCAAACCTCTGAGATATCAGAAGTAATAATGGGGTGCAGTGACTGGGGTGAAGGACAGAAACAAACAGAGAGCAAGTGCAGTTGAAGGCAAGCAAAACATGGAGAGTAAAATTTGGAACAAATGTGACAGAGCAGAAGCCATCTGTTTAGCGAAAGAACAGGACATTGTGCTGACCAGGACTCAGAGGGAGCAGCCTCAGAAAATTCATTAAAACCTGGAATTTGCTGTGCAGTTGAGTCCGATCTTATGAGACAAAGAAGCATCAGTCCCTGGAGGGGGAGGTGGTGGTATTTCAGTATGAAGCATTCATTTACACTTTCCACAAGAGGGTTCTTGAGCCAACGAGGTTAGAGAAAATAGGATGGATAGGTGCCAAGTGGGATAGCTCAGAATAATGAAAATGTTATTCTTTTACACCAGGGATCAAAGTATGTTGAAAGATTTTACTTTTAGCGTCAACTGGCCTGAATGCTCAGTTGTGATTTTACTGAGCTTTTGGGTAAAGGATGGTGTACTGCAATGAGTAGGTTTTATTTTAATTAATGATGAAAAGATCCCTTCACACCACTTAAAATGAGATCATGTTTAATTATTTAGATGATCATATATGTCCCTGAGGAGGCAGACTGGCATTTTGGGAGGTGACAGTTGTCTGGTAGGGTACTGCTGCTGGCCAAATATAAAAGGGTGTGCTTTACCTCCCTTACCTTAGAGTTTGTATAAGCCACTGAGCTGTGGTTGTTTTTACTTTTTTCAGGTGGACACTAGTTTGCAGAATGGCTTTGCCCCTGGTATGAAGCTAGAGGTTGCTGTCAAGTCTGACCACAACACCTACTGGGTAGCCACCATCATCACTACTTGTGGGCAGTTGCTCCTCTTACGCTATGATGGCTATGGGGAAGACCGCAAGGCAGACTTTTGGTGCGACATCTTGACAGCTGACTTACACCCAGTTGGTTGGTGTGAGCAGAACAAAAAGATTCTCAAAGTGCCTGAAGGTAACAACTCCCCATGGAAATGAGGGAGTGTGGAATTTAGTTTTTGATGTATGTTTGCCCTTTGTAACTGCTAAGAGAAGCAATTTGCACTTGCTATAAAACATCTCAAACTGTTAAGCTAATTTGACTGCCCACTTCATCTCAAAAACTTCTATATACTTGCAGTTATAATGGATCCTTTTATCTGAGATGCACCAGTAGCTTGGACCCAAATTAGACTTGCCTTTAAAACATAGATTTTTGGTACTCACTAGCCATTGCCACCCAAATTCTTTGGTTTTGCTATTTTTTAGGCATTTGCCATTGAGACACTTTTTTTTTTCATAAAACCACCTGTTTTTACGTAAAACCAACTCTGTAAACGACTGTGCCTTGTACTTGTAATGAGTTTAATTCCCAAATCTATGTTTATATCAGTGGCCGTGATGTACAAAAAATAAAATAAAGCAAATACAAGGTTAATTTTGAGCTGCACAGTCGGTGCTTTACACTTACCTACTTTGCTGTCCCTCCTTGTAACAGACTCTCCGTATGACCACTCCAATATAGGCCTTCTCTACATAGAACGTCGTCCTCCTTCTTAACACTCTTTCCCCCTCATTGCCGTATATCTGTATGGTGCTCCCATTGATGTCAATTTCCAGACTCTGGAAAGAAAGCAGCCTGAGAATGATCTTTGATATGAAGATGCTGTTGGGGTTGTGCTCTTGGTTTTCACCTGGTGCCTGCCTGTGGAATGGAATGTCTGATTGGCCATCCCCAAGACGGGCTTGTGTTTGCTCCCTCGCATCATTTCTGGGTAACTGCTGAGACCTGATGCCCCAAGAGCAGCTCCCCATACTGGTTCCCTGTGAAACCTGTTTATCAAAGTGGTTGAAGCTCACACTTCAAGGCAGGTGAAACAGAGATCAGTTATTTAACAAAGTTCACTCACACGATTGATTTTATTTAAAACTTCAGACCCGCCCACTTTCTCCAATTCTTGTCTGTTATCTGAAGACATTGTACTCTTGTATTGAAATGAAGGAAAGTTCTGAGTTGACCCTATCTGTTGAAATAACACTAATGTGAAATCTTGCTTATCTTTAAGTAAATCTAAGGTAAAGTCACACTCTGATGTAGGAGCATATGGGCCTTCTTATTGACGTGTGGATGAGAAATGTACCCTCCTGAATGAAATGTCACAAGGGCACTCAAATGACTTGTTGCTTGAAGTAGCATTTTGCTGGCCACAGAAGTAATCTCACCCTTGTTTTTTGTTTAGGTATCAAGGATAAGATATCTGACCAGGAAGAATTCCTTCGACAGACACTGACAGGAGCATGCAGTGCTCCTGCTAACCTGCTAGAGGGTGTGAGTGTTTATTCAAATAGACTGAATTAACTCACTTGAAACAACAGTGAGGCTTCTTTTTTAGGGCTACGACACTCTTAGCATCTTTAACCACAGTATATAAAGTAAAGCCCTTTGTAAGTGAATCATTTCTACATCTTTCTTAATTTTAAATGCTATTGCTGTAAGCTGTTGAAATTCAGAAAAATATGTTGGGTCCACCTTCTGGTATCTGTGTAGCATTTGTGTTTTGTCAAATGCTTTCCTGAACGTGTTTGTAACTGCAGATTCAGATGATCTCTTCCACCCATTAACGCCTGTCAGAGTAAAGGAGCTCCTCGCAAATTCCCTGAGTGCCCAGCCCTTTCTCTTAGCCTGTTCCTCCTTCCAAATAGCTTTGTGGAATCTCTTCCTTGTCTGATCTTCAAAATGCCTCCTTCCTTAGTCATGTCCCCTGTTAATCTTCTCTTTACTATTGAACAGATATTTTTTTCATTCCTTTTGTCTCCTCCTTAACTCATGTACCTCTGCTTTAAATGGGACAAATTCAGAACCTTTTTAACTGTCACCCATTTCTCTGTAGCTAGATCTTTGGTATGAATAAAATCGAATCAAGAACAAAAACCTGGCTACCTCATTCAATCTCTAATCTTAATCTGTTCCCCATATAGGGCAGTGTGATGGCACTTTGGAAAATGAGTGATATGCTTACCATTTAAACATTGTTTATATTCCACCTTTCAACATGGGCATCTTTGCTTCTTTTCTATCCTGTCCTCTTACATATTAAAAAGATGTCTGAATTTTTAAAGGGTGGGCTGTATTACTCCACTTCAAGCCCTGAATGTACAACTGGCAAATGCCTCTGAAACAACAGATGACCAGCACACTGATCCCATGCCTTTGCAAAAAACCCTATAATTTTATGACCATGACTGCAGATACCACAGGAGCTCTGATGCAAGCAACCATGGCTAGTGAGTTCTGTAATCTCTTTGGTTAAGGGTGCTATGCTATTTGACTCCTGTATTCATGTTTCAGTTGGACAAGTGGTCCACAGCACAAAGGTGTGTCTAAGACACAGCATCAGTGACAGTGCAGAATCTATGTAACTCAGTCTATTCTGAACCAGTTCTGTGAGTCACTTACCTTATGGTCCTCTTTTGTTCTCTCCATTTTGGCCTGCAGCTTCACAGAGGGAAGAATCCCTTGGATCTCATTGCACCAGGCTCCAGACTGGAATGTCAAAACTCCCAAGATTCCTTGGAAGCCTGGATTGTCAAGGTGGTGGAAAACATTGGCGGGAGGCTCAAGTTGCGCTACGAAGGGTTGGTAGATTCTGACCAGTCTGATCAGTGGATGTTTTACTTGGATCCATTTCTTCATCAAATGGGCTGGGCAACTCAACAGGGATATGACCTCCAACCTCCAGCAGGTACCAAGTAACATTTTAAATCTATTGTCGATAGAGCTGGTGATCGTGAGCTTGAGACTGGAGTCCCCTCTTCTGTGCTCTAAATCTGGATTCCAGATCCATGTGTGTTCACACCACGAGACTGAGATCTAACAAACATTCCACTCTTTAATGAAAGAGCGTTTCATTAAGTAGTATGACAGAGGTTACACCCACTTGTTTTAATGTTCATAGCTGTTTTTGCCTGTCACCATCTTTATCCTGCTTGTAGTAGGCATTGAATATGGGGGAAGGATTGCCTTTTGACATTTATTTTAATGGCCTTGGGTTCTGGTATGAGGAAAATAATTTGTAATTAAGTGTAACTAATGTAATGCTATATTTCATCTCTTGGGAGGCTCCATCCCAGGGCTTTTCACAAAGGTCCCCATTTCTTGCTCCTTAACAGCACACTTCTATTAGACCCAGGCCAATAGAGACTTTCCAGCCCACTATGATACCTAGACTTCCATCTGAAGTAGGAGTACAACAGTGTATAGTAGGTTGTCCTAGAAAGTTAATACACCCTAAGGAATGTGGGGGTGAACAATGCATGTAGTGCAATGCCGGTCAATGTAAAATGGCTCTCTCTGAAGTTCAGGGAAGTGGAGATGGTGCCACGCCAACTTCAGCATAAGTACCTCCTCCATTAAAAAAACACACAAGATAATTTGTCATAATACATATTTTAAAAGAGGAGCTAATTAAACTTTTTATGATAATTGATTATCCACTATAATCGGGTGTCACACCTTCGGCAGTAATTAGCTAAACAGAAGCAAGCTTCCAAAGATGCTGTTTTGCTAAGTATCTTTACTCCACTGGTGGTTTTGGGTATGTGGCCGCAACTCCCCCAAAGGGGTACCGTTCCTGCTAATTACATTTTGCTGTGTGTTGTAGCTGGCTTAACAGTTGTTGGGAGTGACTAATCACACGGCTGTTTTGAAAGTATATCCTTCCTCTGCCTTGGAAATTACCCCCTGAATCACAGTAATTCTTGGTTTTGGTCACCAGCTCAAAAGGCAGTGACTCTTCTGATATAAACTGAAAAGTGTTGGGCTTTTCTCCTAAACCCTTAGCTGCAAAAGACAAATTACTTCAGAAACACAAGGTGCCCATGGTCTCAGTGATGGGCGTCTACATTAAATTCTAACTTTTAAGCAGTGCGTGTACATTTAGTTTTTTAAAAGTCACAATTTTTTTTTTTTTAAACGGTTAGGGTAGAAGCCCAATCCATCTTCCTGCTGATGTCAATGAGAGTATTTCCCTTGTTGATAATTGTATCAAGTCCCAAACCAGTAGGATGTGGAATCACACTGAAAAATTAATATTCTGCTTGTTTCACCTGCATCACTATATTGATGGAAAATAAACAAAATTCTATCAGTCTCTCTCTCTCTTTAAGGATTTGAATAGTGCAGTTTTAAAACACTGGGCATATGGACTATTTTCTTAATCCAGTTTTGGGCTGCTTCCTTGATATTCTGTGAGAAAAGCCTTTTGGTATCCAGTTCCATGAATCCCTTAATAAATCTTAGCAGGAACCCACCATTGGAGGTGGTAGCAACCTGTGATGGGGCATACTAAAGGAAATAGCCCCACCTGACTCTGCTGTACTCTGCGATACTTCATTGCTTGCTGCCTGTTTAACCTGCAGCCATAAAAATAGAGGAAATGACCAACAGTAAATCTCATTTCATTAGTAAATTCAGCATTGTACATTCTTTTATTACACTGTGGCTGTGATCAGAATGACCCCAAGCTTGCCAACAAATTAAAGATGTAGAAGCATATAGTTCACACAGTGGAACTTGATTTATGTAGTCCCTCTTCATACACAAGGTATCCTAAAGCTTTTAGAAAAGTTGGGAGTTCTTAGCCAGAGCTCTGAGGTAAGGCAATATGGTTTCTTAATGGATGCTCTGCTTAGCATTTAATGGGTCAAAAATAAAAGTAATTTAGCTTCACCCTCTTCATTTTCTGTGGGAGATACAAGAACTCTGCTCGTTCACTGTGCTACCTTTTTTTTTTGCTGAAGCTATCCGGTGCCTGAAAAGTGAGGCAGAATGGCAGGACATTTTGACAAAGGTGAAAGAGGAAGAAGAAGGGTCCTCAGTACCCACTGATCTCTTTAAGGTAAAATATCCAGTGCATAGAACTTGATCGAGCAAGGCTCCAGATAGTGTAGTGAGAACTGATGACTTTTGTCATAGCTGTAAGAATTAATTGTGGGAGAGCAAACCATTGGAGCAAATTGAATGAGGGCTTGCTACTGCTGACTACAATGATGTATTATGTCAGGGTCAAGTGTTTATTGAGCAGTGTTGCCATTTGATGCAGGTTCTGATATTCCCTATTCAGGTGGCTGAAACTTAGGAAACAACTACTTTGTCTCACTTTGTTTAGTGCTGAGGGTTAGAAAAATATTTTAACTGACTTGTTTGGCCTCTGGCCACATTCTGCTGCAAGTTTGCAAAGAAATCTCTTGGGGCCTGTCATAGGGTGGTCCCACAAGGAACATCTTGCTGTGGCACAAGTGCGCCTGCCTCAGTTTCCTCTCTCAGGCAACCCAAGAATTCCACTTCAGTCTCTCTTGCTTCAAAAATAACCTTCCTTGGGGCCAGTTTATTTTCAAAACTATAGTGCAAATCAGTCCATAACAAAGGTCCCTACATAGTCCCTTCAGCATCCTGGTTTATAGAGTCCTTAAAATCCCATGACAACACACCACATACCATACACCAGCATCTTCCACCACCCCAAGGCTCCTCCTCAGTCCTCTTATGCCTCTCTGACAAGACAGCCACGCCAGCCCTTCCAACTAAAGTGCAATCCTGATCTTCCCAGCAGAAATTCCCCCACAGTCACTATACTGGGAGATCATCTTCACCAGGGAAGCATCCCTCATTGCCCCCTGGTCCTCATGCTTTCCCTTACTTCTTGCTTTCTAGCCTTGGAGATAGCAGCAGGTTAAGTTCCTCTGCTGCTCTCCTGTCCAGCTAAGGAGTCGGCACACAGCTCCCTCTACTGCTCTCTCACAGTCATCCCTCTCCAGCCTCCCTTTCCCCGGAAATCTGGCTTGGAGATACCAGCCAGCAAACCCCTCATGCTGTGCTCCTGCCTACAGCCTTCTCCCAGGAACCAGCTACAGCATCCTTCCAGGGCATTCCTCAGTCTCCTGGTCTCTGGCAGCTCTCACCTGCAGGAGCGCTGGACCTACTTCCTTTACAGGGTCTGGCCACCCCCTGATGATATGGAAAAACTCACAGCTTCAGTGGAAGGACAGTTGCCCCTTATTTTCATTATACAATTCTTGCTGGTACTCGGTCACCTGTGCAAAACTTACAATTTACTAGAACAAGGCAGGATGAGCTAAAAAAGTCTTAGTTAACTTCTAGGTGCTTAAAGGTGAATACTGTCAGTTTTTTTCCATTAAAAAACATGGTTAATCTGTGCTCTAATCTTGTGGTTTTCAGGACAAGCCTGTGATTGGAGTGCATTCATTCACTGCAAGCATGAAGTTAGAGGCTGTGGATCCAGTAGCACCTTTTGTCCTCTCTCCTGCTACAGTTGTTAAGGTACCAGGATTCGTTCTGAACTCTCCAGCTATGGCTGAAGCTCAGTTGCTCTTTTAGTTCTGTGCTTGTTGATTGAGAATTCCCTGCATGCTTTCTAAAATTTTACATTAGAGTTTAAGCTGCAGACTTTTCATAGATCACATGTGGGTCAGGTACCTGCCAGGTGACTTTGACCCAGGGGTGAACACTTTTTAGTTAAAAATTGGAGCAGTGAGAATCATAGCCTGAAAGAATAAACAGCTAAAATTATCAGTGCTGAGTGCCTAAACTTTGACTCCTAAATCCATACTTGGTCATGTGTCACGGAATCACAGGGTCAGTGCTATCTTGGCTCCATAATGTCTCTGGGAGGAAACCCCTTAGGTGTAACAGCCCTCTCAGGAGTCACACACTCTTGGAGCTTAAGCCCTAGGTTTCACTGCCTCCTGGAACTGCACCTTCAGCTTGCCTGTCTCTCTCCATGAGAAACCCTCTCCCCAGGGAGTCCATTAACTATGGACCCCTTGGGGGGCCTCCACACCCAGAGGGAGTAATGCAACCCCAGTCTTTAGACTGGAGTGACTCTCAGCCAGCATAAAAACAGAAAGGTTTATTGTATGGCTGGAACACAGCACAGAAAGTTCTCAGGGGCCTCAAGCATAGAAAATCTTAGCAAAGTCCAGCATCCAGGTGGGCTCCGGCCGCTCTTCGCGGTCCAGAAGTGACCACTCCTTCCAGCGGCCCACGCTGTATCACCTCCAAAGCCTATTCTCTGTTCTTTGTCATCCTTTCCTTGGCAAACAGATCACCTGGTGTCTCTCTCTAGCCCTTGGTTGTCTCATTGGTCAAAACTGTCTGGCTCCCAAGATGGGGTAGGCCGTCAGTTGCTGAGTTACAAAGTGTCCAGGCTGCCTGGGTCCCGGCTGCTAGGCAGGGTCACACTTGGTTCTTTACGACAATAAACACCCTTTTCTACCACCTCATTAAACATGCAGCACATAGGTGGAAACTGAGGCACACAGCATTCATACAAAAATTCCTCACTTCATCACATCCATGCAACTTAGAATGGCCTGATTTTCCCATGATGCTGAATCCTTATAGCTGCCATTAACTTCAGTGGAATTTGTTCATACTTACTTGGCATCTTTTGAAAATTGTATGGATTTAAGAGCCCAGCTTTAGACTCCCGTGTTTGACAGCTTTTACCAACATCTTTGTTTTTAGTAAACACCTAAGAGGTTCCAGAAGAGACTGTACACCCACACACTATGCAGGTTCCAAAAGAGACTGTACACCTCAGATTATACAACTTTTTAGTCTTCCTTTATGTATTTTCAAACAAATGTTGTGCTCCCTTTTGCTTTTTGCTATAGAATTAATGTTCTTTGAATCTTTGCTCCTACATCGTGTCTTACATTTCAGACATTTTATTTCTCTCTCCTGTGAACTCTAACTTATCAGTCTCTTTAAATATGCAGTACTAATTTAATACTCTGAAGTACAGCCAGTTCTGAAGGGAGTAGAATCATTATGGCACTTGTTGGGGTTTTTTTTGGTTTGTTTCTGTTTGATCTGACATTCTAAGTGAAAACACCCAATATGGCGTTTGTGTGTGTGTTTTTGTGGCAGCACTGACCCATCCTGTTTAGCATCCATTCTATCATTTTCTGTGGCTCAAGTTCCTAACCATAGTCCTCATTCTTTAGTTATGTATTTTGCTTACTCCTTGCAGGATGTCATACCGTTATGTGTCTGATTTTTAAATATTTCTTGGACTTCTCAGTTCTTACATTTGTATTGTATTCTCATAATCCTGGCCTCCAAAAACATATTGGACACATCTCTCCAAGCTTTGGATCACACCTAAATTTAATCTTCTCTCACGCTCTCTTTCATCGTCAGTCGCTGTTGAAAATAGTGAACTTATGAAATAACTAACCTCTCTAGGATCCCACTCAACATTGTCACACATTAAATAGTTCATTATTGTGAGATTTAAAACAACCAACCTAAGTGCATGTGTTTTTGTTTTGTTTTAGTAATATTCCATATATCTTGTATGTACTGTGAGGAACATGAAGCCAGGATATAATATGTCCACTCTATTTCCTTTTTTCTACTAAGCTTGTTATCTCATCAAAAAGAAACAAATTAAGTTACCTTAATATGGATTGTTTTGATGAGCCCATTTTTATTTACTTGGAGTCATATAGCTCTCTCTGCAATTACTTATTGCTAGCTATTTATCACCTCATTTGTCTTTAAGTGCCTATAAATTGACTGCTTTATTAATTGTTCTATTACATTTCCAGATATTATCGTGCAGTCTGCTGGTCTGTGATTCTGTAAATCATCCTGTCTTTTTTTCTTATCCCTCTAATATTTGCAAATGCAGAATTTGGAAAATACCTGACAGTAGATTAGCCTTCAAAAATTAAGATATTGTATCTGCTACCCTAAGGCCATCTCTCTGTCTCTTTTTGGATAACTTTGCAGGTGTTCAATGAAAAATATTTCTTGGTAGAAATTGATGACTTGCGACCAGAATGCAAAACCAGCCGGTCATACGTTTGTCATGTCAACAGTACTGGTATCTTTCCTGTGCAGTGGAGTCTGAAAAATGGTTTGCATCTCAGCCCTCCACCAGGTATATGTCTGTATTTTTGTCTCACTCACTGAAGTAGGCCTCTTTGAAAGTGAGAGATTATTATTCCTCAGTGCACTGTGTTAAAAATCTACAAGCTGGGACAGCATTTTTGCAGAAGAGATGTCTGTTACCGGCAGGAGGAAGGGAAAGATCCAAATTCAAGGAAGCAGCAGCACTAAGCTGGTGGAGTCTGGTCTTCTCATGGAGATGTACTTGGGTTTGAGGGCTGTAGGCACCCCATGCTTTTCTTGGAATGAAAGCATATGGTTAGCCTTGGAGGAAGCATGCATTCCAGGGTGCAGGGAGTTAGTGAGCTATAGCCTCACTTCCTGGGATATCAGATTGCTGTAGCCAGGACAGTGGCTGTTGAATTTTCTTCTTCTTCATCCTGCCTGTTCAGCTTTATTTTCTCACTCCCCAAGTGTCCAATGATGAAAATGTGTAGGGAAGAGGGCAAAGATCTTAAGGTTTTATACTGCCACCCCTCACCATAGTGTCTGAGCTTCATTTTAGCATTTCACTGGTTAATAGGAGCAGAAAGTGAAATGAGGTTTGCCTCTTCCCTTCCTTTAAACTAGGTGTACTAAGGTACTGTGGCCAAAGCAGCACTGCTCTTCCAGCCATCTAACTCCCCAGGGCTGTATTCAGAGACCATTAAAAGGTTTCAGGCTTCTCTTCGAAGCAGCACCCACAGAAATGGTGTCTCCTCTAGAGGAAATGTGGTGCCTTCGAGATTCCTATTAGACATAGCTTTGTCTGACACAATAGAAAAAACCTAAATAGCCCCTGTCTTGGTTAATCCCAGGAGAGGTTAGATGGAATTACTGCAATTTAACACGAAACAGTGTCATAGATGCTGTTTCATGTGTAGCTTTTTATCTTTTATAAATTCCTAAACCCCAGTCATGGTACTACTCTGTACCATGCTGTCCACTTCGAAGAAGTATTACAGCAGTTCTATAGTTCTTCTGTTGCTCAAACCCTGCTATTTGCAATCACATGCAGTATCCTATGCAGGCAGAATAGCATAACAGTGCAGTTTCTTGGTCCCTGCTTCCCTTCCTCTATGTTCATCTTGTTTAGACAGAATACAGGAGAAGGGAATATCTGCTCCAAGAAGAAACTCTTTTGCCTGGGTACTGGAGATTTTGGACTCAGAGCTCCCTACAGCTCTGCATTAAGGCTCCCATATCCCAAATTAATATAGATTTATTATAACAATAATTATGGAGTAACAAAATAGATTATCAAAACTTTTTTATGAAAGATTAACTACGATGCTTAATGGCTACATAATGGATTTGCATAGTGATTCATCCTCATCACACTACACTAATCGCCATTTATTTAATATACAGTACATCAGTGCCTAGCAAATTTAAGGCACTATGTAAATAATGACTTCTATTAAATCTTAAGTCTTTCTGGATTACAACCCTTCATTTAAAAGTGAGAGTCTCTTCAGCTGTGCAGTCTAATCTTGTGGGACACCTTTCAAGGAGTCCTCATGCATTCTCCAGAATGTGGTCAACCTGCAGTAACATGTTCTGGTTAATGCCCTCTCATACCTAGCATGTCCTAACTATCTCCAAGCAGACAGTCTCTAAAGAGAAACGAAGACCCAGATTTTTAAAGGTATTTAGGTGTTGCTGCACTCAGTGTTGCAACACCAAACTGTGATAGGAGCCTACACCTCATTTTCAAAAGGGATCTAGGCAAGCGTCTAAGATGCAGTTGAACATATCGCAGTACAGCTTCAATTGTAATAACAGAGAAGCTAATGCCAGGACATTGTAAACTTCGTCTTTGCTGCAGTGTTATCTCCTACGGAGTTAGCGGCAAATAACACTTGAACAGCATAGAGTGTTTCCATTAGCAGCATAGAGTAACTGAGTTCTCCCTGCATTACTAGCTCCGGTGTTAGCCGCACTCAAACTTCAAAAAACACCGCCTGACAAGCCAGCTAGTTTGAGTTTAAAGCAATACTTATCTTGGCTAGAGACTTGTGTGTGTGAACGGGAGTCAGGTAGGGGCAGCACTCGAGTTATACCTTGAGCTAACGCTGCAGTGAAGACAAACTCTCAAGCAGTAGGGCATAACTTAAAACATGCAAAACCACCCAGGGCCTGATCCTGAGTTGCTTGCTTGGCAAAGCTCCTATATTCTGTGAGAGTGGTGCTGGATTAGGCCTTTCATTGGACTGTGCAGCCCACAGGCCCCAATTGGGAATTAAATCATCCATATCTTGGATAATGCAAGCATTTGGTTGACTGGAGTCATCTGTTTGGTGTAATACAATTAAGCAACCACTTTGCTTGCTCTTTGCTCAGGTTATCCCGGGCAGGACTTTGATTGGGCAGACTACCTCAAACAGTGCGGTGCTGAGGCTGCTCCCCAGAGCTGCTTTCCTTTGGTAAGCTTTTCTAGAATAACGCTTTTTCCTGTACTGGTGGCTACTCCTCATGATGTCCACTTACATAAACAACACCCTTGCTTCTTGTGATTGTTACAGGGACACACAATGCTTTTGACCCTGTGACCTAAACAGCGCTCATAGTTGTTCATGGAACAGAAGTGTCTAGAGAATGTAATAAAGGTGAACTGAAGTGTTTGTGCAAAAAAGTCAGAGTTCCCAGATTAACAGATTACAGTGGCAGTGTGAATCTAACGTAAAAGGCCATTTCACATGAGATGTAACTGTCCATGGAATCACTGCCACTGCACTGGTCTTTCATGTGTGCATCTATGTTAAAATGGTACCCTTCCCCTGCTCAACCCTTGCCACCTATCTAGGGTTTTTTTTCCCCACTCTTCTTCCTTAACTGTAATTATGATTTGACTTGAAAATTCAATAAAATGTTCCAATGGGAAAAAATTATGAGCTAATTTTAAAAGTAAACTGCTAAGACTTGAGTTTGGGTTTTGTCATTCTGTACCACAGTGGTGGTATTACTAGCTGAACACTTTGTGAAAGCAGCACCAGAGGGCTGTTTTCTTAACCCTTGCCAACCCTCTCTCTGGAAAATATTGAGGCAGATGTAGTCATCAGGGAAACACTCAAACTTCCTGGTTTAGAAAAGGGGGATGCTGGCAAAGCTTTTCTTTTCATCTTATCCTCCTCTTGCCCTCTCTCCTCAGTGTCTGAAAATACAGACTCTGGGCTTTTCTGAGAGGAGTGGGTTGGGAGGTTCTGGGGATGACTGTAGGGCATCTTTTACTAATTGATAATACTTAGCCCTGCCTTACAGGGGACAAGAAGACCTCTTGAGGTACCTTACAGTCCTACAATTCTATGATTCAGATAAGTGTTGTAAGTAGGGAGGGAAATAACATAAAACCACTTTTTTTTCCCCACCAGAAAAGCCTGCCTTGCTGTCTGCAGTACCTAGTATCCATTTAGATGAGGAAGGAAATTTAATTGGGATTTAGTGCAGCTGGGATTGTCATGGGTGCTGTTTTTTTGTTGTTGTTTTTTTAAAGGGCTTTCCTAATTATTATAATGGAAAAAGGCAGACTGAGGTTGCCTTCTGCCTGTCAGTCTAATTATTTCAGTTTGCTAGCTACTGATGTTTCACTTGCAGGTAAATAACTGGGAGGAGTTTCTTGATTCTAGTTTTGGTTAAATCTCTGTCAGTGAGTCTCTCAGCTGAACTTTTCTCATGCTCCAATGCAAATGCAACCCTATGTGAGTGCGTCATTACATGCTATTCTGCCTTGCTTCTCTGAAATTCCCTTTAACCTGAAGTACGGTTACATATTCAGATGTGTTAATTACACTGAAAATTCTTTATGAATCCTTGATTACCCACATGAGTTTGCAGTCCCCCATCATGGTCATGTAATCCAGTTTGTATGTTTTAGTCCTCCACATGGCTGTTTACATCTGATAGGCTGGTAAATTCACATATTTTCTCCAAACATCCCTTGATCTGTCATCTTTTTATTAGCTAACTTCCAACCATGGATTTAAAGAGAACATGAAACTTGAGGCTGTGAACCCTGCTGATCCAGGGGAAATTTGCATTGCCACAGTCACCAAGGTGAAAGAGTCCTACCTTTGGCTTCAATTGGAGGGTAAGTGCCCCTTAAGAGAACAGGAGGCTTGTCCCGCTCTGACCTTGCCACAAATCATGTTAGTACACCAGTCTCACCTGGAGATTGATTGATTGGTCATAAATCATCAGCCACAGACACTTTCCGCTAAAAATGGCCAGCAAATCCTTGTCTTCTGTAATTGAAGGATGATATTGTTAGCCCTTTCTCTTGCTCCTCTCCTAGTTTTTAAGATTTAAAATGGCAGCGTTCACTTATCTTGGGGTTAAAATCACCCCATGCAGAGAGTTGGCACAAATCACTGTGTAAATCTATTTTCAGCATTATTCTCAGAAAATAAATAAATAAATAAATTCTGGGACTTAAGTGGAGCATGGGCCTTGTGGTATCTCTCTGCACAGGGGGTGACTTTCACTTAAGTGAAGGTTTTACCCAAGCTCAGCAGCATGACACCTGGAGGAAATAATTTGCAGCAGAAAATCTAACAAGATAGAGCTGGCCTTTGCATGCTTCTTTATATTCCTTTTATTTTTCAGTAGAACTTCAAAGATATGAACACCAGAGTTACAGACTTACCAGACACCCTATGGAACTGGAGGTCCTCAATCAGGCAGCAGTGCAGACCAAAAAAAATAAAAGCAAATACTGTACTGCCTCAGGGCTTTAGCGAGGGAGGGCAGGGGCTGCAGCCATGGCAGGGGAGAGGTCAGGGCTCTGGGCTGGGTGGGGAGTCTCGGGGCTTCTGACCCTCACAGCACTAGGATTCAGGGCTTTAGATGGGGTAGGGGGAGCACTGGCCCCGCAGCTCTGCTCCTGGTTTCCAGTTTCATGGGGGTGCTGGGGCTCAGGGGTTCAGCCCCGCGTCTCTGTTCCTGGCTTCAGCCCTGTGCGGGGTGCTGGGGCTTTAGCTATGAGGGGAGCACCAGTTTCAGCCCCAGCACTCCTCCCATAGCTAAAGCCCCGAGCCCTGGTGTGGTCCTACCCTCCCCCCAGCGCTCCCCCCAGGTCTAAAGCACTGAGCGCCAGTGCTCCCGTGGGGCAGAAGCCCCGAGCCCTGGCGCCCCAAGAGTCCGAAGCCCGGACTCCCATCCTCTCCCAGGGCCCTGAATCCTCTCCCCACCCCGTTTTGCAGCTGCAGTCCCAACCCCCCGGGTGGCTGACATCCATAACCTCTTCTTCAGATTTCAGAGTAACAGCCATGTTAGTCTGTATTCGCAAAAAGAAAAGGAGTACTTGTGGCACCTTAGAGACTAACCAATTTATTTGAGCGTAAGCTTTTGTGAGCTACAGCTCACTTCAGTATGCATCCGATGAAGTGAGCTGTAGCTCACGAAAGCTTATGCTCAGATAAATTGGTTAGTCTCTAAGGTGCCACAAGTACTCCTTTTCTCTTCTTCAGAGTTACGGAACATTTCAGAGTTACGGGCAGCCTCCATTCCCATGGTATCCATAACATTGACGTTCTACTGTATTCTTCTTAGCGTATGAACAACATGCTTCAAGTGGCACGTGACTAGGATTCATCACCGAATTTGGTCTGCTAGTTGAATCATTAGCTTCCCTGCCCTGGGCCAGGTACTGACGAGGAACATGACGTGAACACCGATCCATGCCCCCCTTCATTTTATTTAAAGATTTTATATAAAGGTTCATTTACTATGCATTGTGCTACTCTGCTGAATGAAAGATGACAAACTCCTCCTTTCCCAGCTTTTAGAAGTGAACAAATAAAATCAGGAAATAGTTGCTGATAAATGAAGGAAGGGGAAAATACTAAACCAGTGGCACTATTTTGCAATCACGTTGACATACAGATAGCAGGTCCCAATGCAGAATTTTGAAAACTGCTGTTTCGGTTACATTTTGCTTCTTTTAACTGAACAGGCTCCAAAAAGCCAGTTCCTGAATGCATAACGAGTGTGGAATCGATGAATATATTTCCAGTGGGTTGGTGTGAGACCAGTGGATTCCAGCTCAGACCTCCTCGCAGAGCAATAGGTACCAGTTCTGTTCTCTTTGTAAATTACTAGCAGTCAAGGTGGGGATGGAAAGTCTTTGAAGCTCTAACAAGTGCATCTACTGCAGAATTATCCCCATCATACATCATGAAACTACAAATGAAAGTGTCATCTCATTTTTTAAAATGTATGCAATTACTAGTGTCTGCATAAAATAGGAACATGTAATATTTTTAGGAACCTTTCACTTGCAAAGGGTGGGGTGAAAAGCGAGACACAGTACAGACTTGTACATTCATATACTTCATATGCATTATGCAGTGCAAAATGACTAGGAATACAGTAGTACGGGCAGCGTACAACCCTTATAGTCCATTCAGAATGAGATTTAAAGTAATGCAAGGGGCATATCAAAGGGGTGTCCCCCAGCAACACTACTCTTGATTGCAACACAGTTTGTGTATAAAATACATAGCAATCTCAAACTGGTCAGTCAGTCAGTCCATAAAGGCAGTTCATGTAGCTTTAAATTCATCATTCTGTTGAACAGTTCTTCGAGGTGTCTAGTTTCTCCAAGCACAAGCGTAGGCCCATGTTCACTAAATCCACGTGTCTGTCTTTCTGTTATAGCAGAATTGTTTTCACTATAGCAAATGCCTGGATTGTAACCTGTATTGGTAGTTGAACACTGCACTTAACATGTAGCTATTTTTATATAACTTCACAGCATTATCTTGGTCACATCACCTTCTCTAGAACTTCTTGGTGACATTAGATTGCCCAGTTAGACCTGTAAAATACTCAGATACCACAGTATTGATGGGTGAGAGAGAAGGCAGGCATGCAGATTTATTTCTTTTTGGCTGTTAAACATACTTTGATGACTGGCCTGAAAAGTACAAGTTTGTGAAGAAGATGGTTCTGTGCACAAAAGCTGAGATTTTCACAGCTGGCTAGGGGATCTGATGCCCAACTTTCGTTAATTTCAGTGAAAATAGGGTATGCAAATCCCCTAAACATTTTTGGATAATCTCAGCCCAGATGACTGGTATAAACCTTGTATCGGAAGGGTAGCCATGTTAGTCTGTATCCACAAAAACAAGGAGGAGTCAACCAGACTTGTCCTTGTTTCGGTATAAACTTTGTGTCAGCTGTTAAATGATTGCAGCAATTTTTGCATGTAGATACCTTTGTCTTAAAACTTAGAGGAAGTGCTGCCATAAAAAATATTTTGTAATGGAAGTTTAACTTGCTTGGCTTTTTTTTTTTTTTTTAATTTATTTATTCATTAAATCAATCAATCCTTTCCCTTCTCCTCCTCCTCCCCCCCCAATCTGGATTTACAGTGAACAAACAGAGGAAAATTGCTGTGGTTCAACCAGAGAAACAGTAAGTAACAAGTTTTGTACTATTATTATTTCTTATTATTATTATTTATTATTATAATCCTTGTGGATGGTGATTTGTCTTTGCAACTTTGGTTTCATAGAAAAGGGACAGTGAAGTTTGTCAGGCTTGAGTTTATACCTATACTTAATTCCCACTGATTTTGAAAAACAATCTCTGCCCTTCTGAAATGAGAGCTACAGCACTGTTCAAGGACACTCTTTATGAGTGGGAAGCTGGGATTTTAACAGTTTAGTGCATATAGACTGCACTGATGGTTAATAGATCATCTCACTCTGGGATTTTAATTGTTGCTTCATCCCTTGTTTTAAGGAGCTGAGCCATCTTCCAGTATTGGAGGACACTTAGGGTTTTTTGCTGTCTAAAAATATTTGTCAGCATTGTCATCATGTGGATTTCATGATGGAAGCCTTAAACTACTGTAGTGGTTATCCTAAGTTGGGATGATTGCTTTAACTCTTTTCAGTTCATTTTCAGATTCATTCTCCCTTCAGAGCACACAGCCACCTTCATTAGTGTTAATGTGAGTGCCGTGTACATGTGCTCTGAGGAACAGAATCTGACTTCCTTAGTGTTCTGTTGTGCAATTGAGATTTCCACATTATTTGATAGGAACGTTCAGCTGTTCTGTGTGAGAGCCCTCATTCAAATAGTGTGCAGCTAGTGTGTTCCTCCACAGTTGGCGTTGTATTACATGAGATGCTTACCAGATTGAAAAAGGAGAGAAAAGTGGGAGGAAAAAATAGTTCAAATAGAGACCATCCTTGTGTTCTCATCTTCAAAGGCTTTGTGAAACTATGTAGCATGAGCTTGTTCAAGTGACACATACAATGGATCTCCCTACAGTTAGTCTTGCTGATCTTGATATCATTGCAGGTATCGGATTTTACATGGTTGGACATCCCAATACTTGGTCCACTGTTTTCAGTAAAATAGACTCTCCTAACATGCCAAGCCACCTGTTTTTTAAATGGGGCCATTAGAAGTGTTTTTTAGTTTTTTGTTTGAATCCACATCTTTTCAAACGTGAAATGTAAAAACTGTGATGGTGTCTCCATGATGGAGTGGGCTGTGTTACCAAGCACCTTTGACACACCTGGCTTTTTCAAACAAGGGAAGAACACCACTGGCATAGAGCTGAGCTAGATCAACACAATTGCCTCTTCCTACAGCCTGAGTAAAGTTGTTAAATATTACAAAGATAATTGAAACCTTAGGCTTGACACACTAAGTTGGGAGTGAGAAAGGACCTAGCCTTTTCGCAATCAAGATGTTGATGTATCAACCTTGGTCTCTTTCCCAACCTCCTCTCTCCCATTTCAGAATTTTGTCTTCAAGGACTGTCCATGAGAGGCTGAAGAACCAGGAACTGAATTCCACTGACTCAGGTAAGCATCTTGTTTGTTGGGTTAAGAAGGTGTGAGAGTTCTGTATCTTTATGGCATAATTGTCCAGCTGCTTAGTAACTTCAGCAGTCCTGAATTAGTACAATAGGGTAAAAACTTTTCCGAAGGATAATCTTTCAAATGGCAAGGAAGACTTAACTTCAGAACAGCATACAATTACTGCTGCACATGGTACAATGAGAACATGTTGTCTTGATGCTGGAAGTTGGATTACTGTACCACTTAATCTTTTCTCCCACCAGTGTATGTGCTGGGAGCACCTGGAGCCAAAATATTTAGTCTTAACCCAGTTGTTTACAAAACACTTTCCTCTAAGCTATATAAGTGGTATATATACCTGTAAATCCCATATGCTGTGAGTGGGAAGGAAATTAATTCATGTCTAAGCATCCCCCAACAAAAATGTTTTAAAATAATATTGAGAGATACATAAAACTGTGACACTTGGGTTGGGCTATTATAACAAACACGTCATACTCCACACCGAACTGTTAGAATACTATACTGATGTGCAGGTTTGTTTGTCTTTGTGATAACTTGATCATCAGTCTAAAGCAAGACTGTTCAAAGTGTAAAATAACTCATGTGCCAAATGGCAAAATCTGCTCATTTTCTAAAGTGTTGAAAGAATGTATACAAGTACATCTGCTGATGAAACAGCTATACAATTCTATCCGTATAGCATCTAATCCTAAATTGCTCTGTTTCCCACACAGTAAAATGCATGTCTAAGGCTGTACCACTTTGCATATTAATTGGTTTTAAAATGGAGATATAATGTCATTTCATCTGTTTGTCAGTTTATAAACCACTGGAATTATGGCCTTTTTAGATTAAAGTGCTTTTCAATCAAAATTATAGGACTACAAGCGTAAAATTACTTTACTTTTTATATTTATTTATACATCCATAAATATATTGCATCCATATATAGCAGCTTAAATTCTGAAGGATGCCAAGGTGTTTTACAGACTTCAACTGACATGCAAACTAAAAACAAGGATTACTTTGGCAACATTAAAGTGTAGCAACTGCTGGTGGAAAAAACAGCAGTTGTATAATATTGCTTTGCATTGTTAAACAGTTTAGGATAGGAAGTAGCAAATAGCTTTTCTGCTTGAAACTGCAAGGGGAATTTGGGGAGCAGTAATTACTGCACTTGAAATTTGTCCAGAACTCTGCTGCTTGATTTACTTATCTTCTCCAATTATATCAGGTGGCTATGACCTTTGGGGTTTTTTCCCCCCTCCAACTGCATAGTTTCCCTTTAGAATCAGGCTTACTTAGAAGAAAGAAAATCTCCCGTTAAATCACCAGCACCATTTCCTTCAGTACGTTGGAGTTCCTTTGTGGACTGCCCCAGGTGCTGACCCACTGTGACCCTGCCTTGCTTGTTCTAACACCTTCCCAGAAGAAGATAGCATGGGTGCAGGTCATAGACTTGCATGAGATGTAATATATAATCTCATACCATACGTTGCAGAGCCACACACTAGTGTAGGTTTGTCATACTTCTATGCCCATTTCACCTGTATAATGCCCTCCAATCCACCTCCACCGGGACTTCCAAAGTTTCAAACATCTGAAGAACTTTAAATAGCCAGCTTTTGATTTATGTTTTTGTAATAAATTTACCACAGAAATGTTTCCAGACTGTTCCTTTATCCCCTTTCAACTCCTCCCTCTTTGAACAATATTAGATTTCCCCAAAATGACAATGGCCATAGGTCTCTGACACCAAGTGATCAGGACCAATGACTAGCAGTAAGTTCCAGTATTTTCCATCAGGACTAGAAATGTGTGCTTTATACCTTTTGGAAAGGGAAACTGCCTGCTTTTAATGTGGTTGTATCCTATACTTCTAGCCCTTTTCAAGAAACCTCTAAAACTGAATTGGTGGTAACTTGCATATCTTTCTGCGTCTAAAGTTAGGTACCTTGTTAACTCTATCTAGTATAAGGCTTTTGAAAGGGTATGCATTCTGGAACCTTTTAAAAATGACCTAAAATAGCAAATTCTTATGTCTGCTTTTTATAAAAATGCTATGGCTCAAAAAAGCGCTGTGAATTCCAGTGGAAAGTTGGTAATCTGCTATTTTTAATGGCCTGAAACTCCCATCTCTAGCCTGGATAAGAAGACATGTGACCTTAAGGCTGTAGCTGGTCTGGGAATGAATATTCCCTGTTGTGGGCCTCCGAACATGGACACTTTGTAGGCAAAGGAGGCAACCTTTCTCTTGCTGATTCCCCCCCCCCCCCCCCCCCCCAAGTGTTTTTTGCTGCTTAGAATGTTAGAAGTAGCTGCAGAGAATGGATCACTGGCAGAGCACAGATGAGGTGGGCAGTCAAAGGCTCATGATAAATTGCATAGCTGTGTGACTGGATTTATTTTTGGGCTCACTTTGTTATATGGATATTGCCAATACATAAACGGGATGTGACTATGCGTGTAAAATACAAGAAGTACATCTCAGCAACGTCAATTACGGGCAATGCTATAGCTGCAAATGTGACACTTTAACTCCCAAAATGTATGTGGCTTAAACTATTTTACAAAATATTAAGCTTTTTGAGAAGCCAGTCTTGGCTGGGGAGATTGCATTGCATGATCTAAATCTTTGCTGCTGATTTTCATTTCTCAGTTGTAATTAATGGAAAGTACTGCTGTCCAAAAATCTACTTCAACCACCGGTGCTTCTCAGGGCCTTACCTTAACAAAGGGAGAATTGCAGAGCTGCCTCAGTCCGTGGGACCTGGGAACTGCGTTCTTGTCCTTAAAGAGGTGAGAGGATTATGAGTGTGTGGCTGTGTGTATAGTACTGCATATTAAACTCCAGAGTGACTCTCTAATTAGAGATAGGTAATGGACTAATCAGTATAAGGCAAGGGTTCTCAAATAGGGGGTTGGGACCCCTCAGGGGGTTGCGAGGTTATTACATGGGGGGTTGCAAGCTGTCAACCTCCACCCCAAATCCCTCTTTGTCTCCAGCATTTATAATGGTGTTAAAATTAAAAACACATTTTTATATATTTAATTTAATCAGAGGCTTGCTATGTGAAAGGAGTCACCAGTACAAAAGTTTGAGAACCACTGATATAAGGGAATGATTATTGTTGGTGAGTGTTCTATTTCTTGTCTAAAATTAAGCATAAGGTATTGAGTGGTTAGAGATTTGGTAAAATACCTCTGATCCACTAGAGATGTAATCATTTCATTATTATTGCATTTCTTATTTTTGTGTCAAGTAAACCCTAATTAACACTACTGAAAACTACCAGCTGATGTTAGAATAGTTCAGCCCTATTAAAATCCCTATAATATCCAATTAGTTCATAGTATTTTAGCACTTTTTTTTTTCTTTGTGCAAAAAAAAAAAAAGCATTTCAAGCAGCCCAAAAAGCTGCTGTGGTCTATTGTGTTGTGTTGGAATATGTGAAATATGGTTTCTGTCCTATGAAAAAAAGTAGAGCGGTGCAAAATATTCCCAACTGAATGGGAAAGCTGTCTTTTTTTTTAAATAGTTCTTTGTATTTTGTTGCAGATACTTAATTGGGCCTATGTCTGTGCAAATCTGCCAGATTCATGACTTTTTCACTCACAGGGAGCATTGTGAGTGAAAATGGATACATTTTCCAATTGAAAACTGCCTCTTTTCAAGAAAATATTACACAGCAAATCACATGAAAATATCTCTTCTGACAATAGTCATTTTGCTGAATTTTCCGCAACAATATGTCTGGGGTACGATATCTCCTGAAACGAAATGGTGAATGTTTTTTTTCTTGGGAAGTTCCTCGAAAATATTTTTCCCACTTCAGCACAACTCTCCCAAAATGAATAGAATGTGGGTTAAGTGTGGGAGTTAACTCTCAGTCCTCTGCTTTATTGCATCAAACAAAAAATCAGGAAGCAAAGATCATAGGGAAGACTTTCTCAAGCCTCTTGTGACAGCCACTTCTAAGTTTGATTTTAATGGAAAATTCAAACCATGCCATGTATAAAAATCACGGTAGTCTTGCATACACTAGGAAAATCTGTAAGCATTTTCCTGTCCTTTGATGACAGCCAAGATGGTGGTCAAAAGACCTGAACCCCAGCTACAACTTCTACCATTGTTATCATTTGCAGAGTTGCACCACTGCAGAAATGTACATTTTTCTGATGCATATCAACTTTCTCTGTGTGTGTGAACAATTTGCATGAACTGGAGGTTTAAAAAAAAAAAAAAAAAAGAGTAAGCCACAGTTGAATACTGTAGCTGAGTTTTCAGAGTTAGATAAACTAATACCCTCAATAAACTTGCAGCTAAGCAGGTTAAAAATAATCAAATTGTATGCTTTGGGTGTAAGGTGACTGCCATGAGTCTTGGTTAATTGTAACTTAGGGTGTACAGTTGGCCAGGCAGCTTTATGGGGGCACAGGAGTCTCCTTCCTCTGAAGCATATGGCATCAGCAACTGCCCAAGGCAGGATGCTGGCTTTGATGAACCATTGGTTTGATCTGTCATGACAAATCTGTATTCCTGTGAGAAAGCACCAGATTATAGAAGCTGCCTCTGGGAGGGACCTTTGTTGCATGTTAAATGTCATTAATGGGTGTTTGTTTTTGTTTTTGTTTTTTTTTTAAGTAGTAGCTTTTGTGCTCATTGAGTAGAGAAATGGTGTTCTCTCATGGACAGAATATGGTACAAATGCACAAGATCCTTTGTGGAGGAGCTTTTGCATCCTTTCTAGGAGTGATGATCCTTGGTTTGTCTCTTCACTTGTTAAACTGCAAATGTTGCTAGCTCTTCCCACGTTGGATTCTGTTATGTTGATACAGATGTTTCATTTCGTAGAGGGTGAATTGAATAGTTTAATTTGCTTCACTATGGACTTCTACAGCTCTTTTGAGCAAGGCTCGGGGTACTCCACAGCAAGCTGAGCCTAGATATACAGCAAGGCTTCTGGATTCTGCAGTACCCCCAGTGTGGCAGACTGGAAATTCTGTGGCAGCTTCGTTTAAATTAAAAAAAAGGCCTGACTTTCAGAAGTGCTGATGAATACCCACAAATACTACCAAAGTCAGTAGCAGCTACAGGTGTTCAGCGTCTTTGAAAATGCATCCAAGAGTTGAATTACAAAAATGACTACTACAATCAATATAGTACCCCTTGTGTTTATATTGATGTGCTCAATATATTTTATCCTGCCCCTCATTTTTGGTTTTAGATGTATCTGAGTTTTGAGCTGATGCATATAATCACCTTGAAGAAGCTGATGGGGTAAAGCTGGAGATTTGGCAAATTGAGGCCTTTGACACCTGGGAATGTGTTTGGAAGTGGTTTGGGTCTGTAGGGATAAACATCTTATCTAGATCTTTCTGCTAAAAAGAATAGCGCTAAAATAGTTAACTCTGAAACCTAAAGATGGGTTGAACGTCAAAGTGATTAACACCCCACTGACATATGAGGTTGCTAGTACTTTTCAGAGCTCTTTACTCAGGTTGTCTGCAGAATCAGGAAGGCAACACTGCACTGATAAAATTGCAAATGTGAGCAGATGATCACTGTGACAAAGGCTAGAAACTTTTTTTTTAAATGAAGCCTTAGTTCTGGTGCCCAGTTCTTAGCACATGGCTGATTCCACAGCCAAGAAGTCATTGAGTACACAGGACCATACCTTTGGGTGATACCCAAATTATACCCTTTTTCCCACCCAGAGTCTGTCTTATCTATTTAAATTACAAGCTTTTTGGGGGCAGGCAATCTACTACTCTTCATACAGTGCCCTGCACAATGGCATTCTTGGTTGTCTTTTAGGAACTACCATAATAAACATGATTAATAGTAAAAGCTCAAGAATGAAGTAGCATGCATAGGCAGCAAAATGTCACTGGCATTACCCACAACTGCCTGAGCTTTATAATGTCTACCCTTGAATTAAGTTGAGTGATATGAGATAAGGACAGTGAAGCTCCAAAAATTTCTGGGAGCTGCTGAAATCAGTAATCTTTTGGCAGTCAAATTTTGAAGGCTTGGCAAGACCCTACTTACTGTCTGTTATGATTTATCATGTAAGCAGTTGCCTTTTTTCCAAAATCCCACTATGAATGAGTTTTTTAATGCTCAGATAGTAGTGGTTTGATGCTAGTTAATTCAGATAAATGGAATTAATCTGCCAATCCACCCTAACCCATTAAAACATATTTACTGTATGAATAACCTAATGGGTTTTTCCTCCTCCTTTCGTTTCCATTTGTAGGTTCTCACTTTATTAATCAACGCAGCCTACAAACCTAGCCGTGTCCTTCGAGAACTCCAGCTGGATGAGGATGCTGCCTGGCATGGGCATGGAGAGACCCTGAAAGCAAAGTAAATTCCTGCCCCACATCCCAGTCCAACTGATCCCAGCAGTAATATCTTCTACAATCTACATTTTTGTTTAACTATTTGCCTTTTAGGAAAATTACATGAGATTTGTTCAAGGGAGGGAGGGATAGCTCAGTGGTTTGAGCATTGGCCTGCTAAACCCAGGGTTGTGAGTTCAGTCCTTGAGGGGGCCATTTAGGGATCTGAGGCGAAAATTGGGGATAGGTCCTGCTTTGAGCAGGGGGTTGGACTGGATGATCTCCTGAGGTCCCTTTCAACCCTGATATTCTATGATTCTAAGACAAATAAGGACATTGCAAAACTTAACCCTCCAACTCGTGCAAACTGTTTCAGGAACATCCAGCAGAGTGCAGCTGGTGTGCTGTTGCTTACTGTATCAGGCGTGCTCTGATACTACTTTGGTTTCAGTGCAGTATTACTGGAGTAACTAGCACAACATATTGACAGGTTTCAGAGGAACAGCCGTGTTAGTCTGTATTCGCAAAAAGAAAAGGAGTACTTGTGGCACCTTAGAGACTAACCAATTTATTTGAGCATGAGCTTTCGTGAGCTACAGCTCACTTCATCAGATGAAGTGAGCTGTAGCTCACGAAAGCTCATGCTCAAATAAATTGGTTAGTCTCTAAGGTGCCACAAGTACTCCTTTTCTTTTAGCACAACATAGCATATGCGCTAGCAGATCAGCAGCAAAAGGGTAAAAGATTTGTAATTTGATTGAAGATAGTTTTGTGTTTCTGCTTTGAAAGTGTCAGGAAAGGTTTTCAGGCTGTCAGGACCTTCAGCCAAATTCCATAGTGGAAAAAGGTTTCCCTTTAAATATTAGCCTATTTACTGAGCTGGAGTCCAGCACTGGGAAGAGCTGGGTTGGGGAATCCCTTTTACATTTTTGATGCAAATATGCTGCCCAGTGCTCCTGCTGGGCCTTACTGGTCTATGATTTCACTGTTACTGAGAAACCAATATGTGGCGAGGAACCACAGTGAAAGAACGTTGTGATCATGTTAACATAATAGAATTATTAAACCCAGCAATTTTGAGCCACTTGGTTAACTACCCAAAAGAGAAGAAGGATCGTCCTGTAGTTGAGGCACTGGACTTTTACCCAACCAGGAGATCAGGATTCTTTTTCCAGCTCCACCACAGACTTACTGCATGACCTTAAGCAAGTCACTAGCTCTCTCATTGCCTCCGTTCCCCAGCTGTAAAATGGACATACTTACCTACCTTGTCGGAGTTCTGTGTACTCAGATATAGTGATGAAGAGTCCATAGAAAAGCTTATGTAAATAAAATAGTGTGAGAAAGGAAAGGTCAGTTTTGAGTGGCTTACTGCAGTTATTAAATATATTCATCTGATTTAACAGTGAGGTCAGAGATGAGTGGGCAGGCTACCTATGAAAATCACTGCCTGTTTTTTCTCCATGTTTCAGATTTTTAGGGCCATTATGCAATTCTAAATAGAAGAACTGTGGTCTGAGGTATCCCAATAGACTCACTAGCACATACCACTGGATGTACTAAAAAAGCAAAGCTTGGGAATGATGCTTGACTCAGCTATGCACAACACCCCCACAGCATGTAGTTCCTCCATAAAATCTGTCTGCATCATATAAGGCTAGTGGACAAATAGAAAATGCCCTTTCTTATTGCTTCATCCTCCACAGGCACCAGGGAAAACATTAGTTTGTTGTCTGTAGTCAAAAGAGAAGTTGTCATTCTGGCACATAGAGCCATGGTGTTAGTAGCCTTTCCATTCCTTGATAAGTTGCTGAGTAGGTTGAGGAAGAGTGGCTGGTGGCACAGGGGGGTTGGTAATGTGATATGTAGCTTTCCACGTCCAGATAACCTGCCAAATGAACCTGAGTTCACTAGGGGCTGTAAGTTATCCATTTAATCGTTGTTCAGTGGCCTCTGCAGTGAGTTGGAGTGAATCCAGATCCTAGTAAGCAGGTGTCTACATCCAATGGACATTAATTGGCAATTTTTGCATTACCATCTTAGATTAGCTGGTATCGTCTCCATACTCATATAAAGTATGGGAATATTTCTTCCAAATTATATTGGAAACATACTAGCAGGGCAGTGTGCAAAAGCTTGGCACAGCAACTGCCCATGCTGTACTAGCTTGTTAATATGTATTCACATGTGCATCTGTCATTTTATATTGCTGAAGGGAGGACTTGGTTTTTATGATTGTTGATCCAAAGCCTTTCACAAGCTCTCTTCAAACTTATTTTGAATATGTAATGTCTGATGTTGATAGTGTAATATAGCATCTTTATCACAGTGAATAACAGTATTAGGACCCGCTAGATTATGATGATATTCTCCAATGGCAGGTACAAAGGGAAGAGTTACCGTGCCACTGTGGAGGTTGTGAGAACAGCAGATCGGGTGGCAGATTTCTGTAGAACAACCTGCATCAAATTGGAATGCTGTCCAAATCTCTTTGGCCCGCAGATGGTGCTAGATAAGTGTTCAGAGAACTGCTCTGTCCTGACAAAGACCAAATACAGTGAGTAGATACCAGGGTTTTTTGCCAATGTAATGATCTTCATTTAGACCATGCCTTTGATCCAGAAGGATCTCAAAGTGTGTTACAAATTATATATCACTTCATTCACCCTGATGAGCAGCCCAAGTGCTAATGATATAGACCTAGATACCCATATCTTGGATCAAAACAATGATTATCTAACAGTGAACTGCAACATCATAAAACCAACTATTATGCCTAATGTTGTATTAATTCCTGCTGATGATTTCTAGGACAAAAACTGATTCCAGGATACTTTCATTAAAAGTTATGTCTCTCCTGCCACTCTGCTTTAGAACAAGCTGCCTCCATAATGTATTTTACTAATTTGAACTCCTGGCCACTGTGAGTGTAGATTATGTATCATCTCAATAGATCTGTACAGGGCATGCCAAATCCTGCAGAACCCCACCACCACTATCTGCCACTCTATAGCTGCTGATATTATTTGCACCAAAATCTGTTCATTTGAGGCCTTTCTCAGAACTAAAGAAATATAATCTCCTTTTGTCGGGTGATTAACTTTATTAATAAACACATATTTAATGTATTGTATTGAAGGAAAGAATAGACCCATTCATGTTGATGTTCTCCACAGTTGGGATTTCTGTTGGAAAGCTTTCTGTTAATGATTCTGCATTCCTGAGGGCTGATAAGTGATAACCTAATGATGCTGAAGTTCCATTGCAACACAACACATGTGAAGCACACACCCTTTGCTTTTGTCTATGTAGCACACTATTATGGGAAGAGGAAAAACAAAAGGATTGGCCGACCACCAGGTGGCCACAGTAATCTGGAAGCAGGCATGAAGAAACCAAGCAAGAGGAGGAAGAGGCGAAAACACTTCTTTGTCCATAAGAAAAAACGTTTGTCCACCTCAGTGGACAACTCTCCAGTTGGATCTCTCCAGGTATGCAGCTAGAGAAAACTTGCACAGTACAGTGTATGTTCATAGATTGCCTCAGTGTTGGAACAGGACTCTGTGCACAGCCAGTTACCAGTTCCTTTAGACTCTGTGCAGCCAAACGGTTACTGTAGATCAGAGAGACAAGGTGGGTGAGGTAGTATCTTTCAAAGTCTTATCTCTCTCACTGGCAGAAGTTGGTCCAATAAAAGATATTACCTCACCAACCTTGTCTTTTTAATATTCTGGGACCAACATCATTACAGCAGCACTGCATGCAACTGTGAGCGTAAAGATCAGAGACTATCATAGGACTTTTATGTACTAAATTTCCCATTCTAAATTTATTATTTCTCTTCTCTTTCAGGGCAGTGGGGGAGAGGAAGAGGATGACCAGGATGACGTAGATGAAGAATCAATGAGTGAGGACAGCACCTCAGAGCAGCAAGATGAACTGCTTGAAGAGTCGGAAGTGTCGGAGAAGAAATCGCGGTCCTCCTCTCCCACACAGAGTGAACTGTCCCACTGCCTGGCTCAGGATCAAGACAAGCGGAAGAGGAAGCTCCGGACCTTTTCCTTCTCTGATGATGAAAATAAACCCCCTTCACCAAAGGTACCTCTTAAAGCACAAAATCTTTTACTTCCTCAGTGATTTGGTCACTTCCCCAGGTGTGGGGAGGGAGATATCATTAATTCAGAATTTTCCTCCATTTGGCAGTTTGCTGTGAATTTCACTAATCATCCTGATTGAAAGTTGCTTTTAATTTCCAGTGTACACCTGGAGCATTCTGTGTCCTGTCTTCCCAGTGCTAAATGCAAAAGTGACATTCCTTGAATTGCAAGGAGAAGGGTTGACAGAGCAAATGTTGACTCTCTAAAGGGGTTTAATGTAGCAGCTGTGATGATCTAATCTGTTCACTCAGCCAAGGCCAAAATTCTCTTGTAAGAGGATCATATCTTTGAAAATTATTATCAAAATTATCAGCAAATTTTGCTATTTCTTAAAAATAAAAACCCCCTATTTGTGATGAAGTGACAAGCTGCTGCTGTACCAAACTGTTCCTTCAGAACTCGAGTATGCATTGAATCTGTAATTATTAAAACTTAAAATTAACATAACTGTAATGAAATGTAGTTTGATTATATCAGGACCCACCCAAAGCTTAAGAAGCTTCTTAAGCATGAAAATAAGAAGGTCCAATGTGCCATTGTCATATTGCTTAAAATGCCATCAGAAGCACTCCATAAAATTTTCACTTCCATCTCCAGTAGAGGCTGAACAGCAATACATATCACAACTATCACTTCCACACAACCTTAATGGTGACTTCATATTCTCAGATCATCTCATAACGGTCTATTCATTTGGAAAGTTATTTTGCCCTAATATTGCCAAGGTCACAGCTAAGATTTTGCTTGTGTACTGTATGTGATGCTAGTCTAGACTTCTGGTGTGATACAGTGATAATCAGGGGGAGTTCTGCACCTGAATGGGAAAGATGCATTCTCTTGTTTTCAAAATACGTGTTTTCAGGCCCTGCAGCTACCTGGGAATCCAGGAGCAGAGAGAAATCCAATAAGAGCCTGAGATTGTGCACCACCATGCCTGGTGTTAGGCAGGGGCCATGAACTTGAGGGGACTAGCCCTTCCCATGCTCAAAGCAGCATACAGATATTACTGATCTTCACGACTTGTCTGGGAGGGAGGTGAGGATACTACCCCAATTTAAAAAATGTTAAAATAACGAGTTTGGGGAATTTTTCCAAATGCTGCACAGCAAGCCATTGGCAGAGCTGGGATTTTAGAACTCAGCACTTCCTGACTTCTGATTCTTAGCATTCTGCTAGACAATGCTACCTCTCAAGTTCAGAGTTATTTTAGAAACATGCTATGTGGACATGGCAAATATAACGTTTTGGTATTTGGGGGGGGGCGGGTGGGTTAGGAAATAAAGAATGAAGTTGCCGAAAAGCTGCAGCTGGACAGTAATCCTCTGGAATGGAGCGTGGCTGATGTCGTGCGGTTCCTCAAATCCACAGACTGTGCCCCGTTAGCCAGAATTTTCCTGGATCAGGTATGCAACGCTTCTTTTTAAAATACGTGAACCTGCTGCTGCATTATCTGCTGATTGACTGACCACATGAAACCAGTTTTAATTACTAAAGGGTAAAACATAGTTGCTGCAGTTTTTATAATGTTTTTGATATGGCAAAAAACTTTACACTTTGTTTCTTACAGCTCGTTCTAGCATAGAGGCATTCTATTATGTTCCATTGCCTACTGAACGTTTTGCTGCATTTGATTTCCAAAACTGACTTGGGAGAAAACTGTTAGGCAGCAACTAAAACAGGTCACAATGAATTCAGTGGCCTATTTGAAAGAGGATATAGAGCTTGTTATCTTGACCCAAGTAGCACTCCCAGTGTCAAATGATTGGTAAATATTGTACCGTTTACTATAAATAACACTTACAGAGTGCTTTGTAAACCTTAAAGTTTGGAGACTGCTCAGTATTTATTACCAGGCATCACACAGTGCTTTGCTGATGCACTAATGAAGAGGGAGTGTGATAAATAAACAGGGGGATAGCTCCCTTTGATGGACACCCAGCCAGCCAGTTAGCTGTAAAATATCTCTTGGTAGCTGTTCTTTACTTGCTTTACCTGTAAAGGGTTAAAAAGTCCCCCAGGTAAAGGAAAAAAAAGTGGGCACCTGACCAAAAGAGCCAATGGGAAGGCTAGATTTTTTTTAAATGGGGGGAAAAAAACTTTCCCTTTGTCTGTTGTTTCCTGGACTGCAGGAACACGGAGCAGCAATGCTATAAGTAGAAATGCTGTGTAGGGTTTGAACCAGGTATGAACAAGTATTCTGCATACCTAGAAGAAATAATTTGGATAGAGAATGTTTAGTTAGATGCTATCTGGTTTATTTCTTATCTTGTAACCTTTAAGCTAAACCCCCAAGAAGTTAGTTTGGGTGCTTAATTTTTGGAATTGCTCTTTGAAAATCTAGCAAATGCCTATGTTTTAGCTGTATTTTCTTTCTTTTTGTTTTAATACAATTTACTTTTTTTAAGAACAGGATTGGATTTTTGGTGTCCTAACGGGTTAGGTTTGTGCATGCTGTTTGATAAGCTGTTTTCTTTGGCTATCAGCTATGTTTTCTTTCTCAGCTCTTCCCTGGAGGGGGGTGAAAGGACTTGAGGGTACTCCACAGAGAGGAATTTCCAAGTGCTCCTTCCTGGGTTCAAAGGGGTTTTTTTGCATTTGGGTATTGGCAGCATTTACCAAGCCAAAGGTCAGAGAAAAGCTGTATCCTTGGGAGTTTAATACAAGCCTGGACTGGCAAGTATTAACTTTTAGAATCCTTGCGGGCCCCCACTTTCTGCACTCGGAGTGACAGAGTGGGAATTCAGCCTTGTTTATCACAGGGAGTCATTAGGGAAAGAAACTTTAATCCATATTTAAGAGGGTATCAAAAATACAGCACAAAAGTGAGAATCCTTTTAATGTATTTTTTCATATTACATCTATTTTTCAAAGGTGGATTTTGCTAGTCTTGCCTATTAAGTGCCCAGTACTACAAATTGCCAGGCCCCTCCTGGGTGGTGAACACAAATTTTGCTAAGGGCATAATATGAAGGCTGTAGGTGTTATTGAGGGTGTAATTTGGCTGGCACAACTTGTATTACAGTGTGGGGATGCATGAGAACACAACCCAGATTGCTTCTCTGAACACAGATTGAGTTTGCAGGGCTAGAAATTAGGACAAAAACATTACTTGTAAACTGAATACATTTTCTCTGGAACCATTGAGACAGTAAGGATGAAACCATATGATATCTTGTTTAGACAATTTAGAATGGACCTGCACTTCAAGATGAGGAAGGAAGGAAGCAAGTAGGTGATGAGGGAGATTTCTAGCTAAATGAAGCAGCACAAGTGAAACAGCAAATTCCTAGAGGTAGAGAGTCATGAGCTGAAACTTGAGGAAGCCAAAATTTGAATGGGAGTAAATGAGCAACTAATTCTACCTTACCAGTGTTTTGTTTGTCTCCTGACAGGAAATAGATGGTCAGGCTCTTCTCCTGCTCACCCTCCCCACTGTTCAGGAGTGCATGGACTTGAAACTTGGGCCAGCTATTAAACTTTGCCACCACATTGAAAGGGTCAAACTTGCTTTTTATCAGCAGTTTGCTAACTGAGGAGTGGCCAAATGGAAGTGGACCTTTGGAAGCACAACTGCAGCAACATGCTCCTCCCTTTCTGGCAGCAAAAGCCAAATGGGGTTAAAGTGAGGCTCCAGTTCTGGTGACCTACAAACATCTGTTCAGCCACAGTTTTGCACTTTGAGGGAAGGAAGACAACATCTGGAGCAAAATGTCAATGCAAACATAGCAGCTACCCTACCAGCTGGCTGCTAGCTTGGGAACATGAGTCTCTCACTCTGATCATGCCTTTTTTAATTTTTAAAAAATGGTTACAGAAACGTTTCCTATAAGGAGACAGACGTTTCAAGAGTTCTGGTGGTGCAGAATTAAAAAAGATAAAGGAGAGACGGATGCCATGTAAGTGAGAAGGCAGCTACTGGAAAATGTTTTTCCTATTCCTAACCAATCAAGAAGAACTCCATTTCCTTTCTCCGAAAGAGAACATTTGCTTTAAGACAGCACTAGCTTTGGGATGTGCTCTTTACACATCAGCGCTTTTTTTTTTTTTTTAATTTAAATTAGCTCATTGTCAGGACAATGATGTGGCCACAGGGTTCTGAATGTACAGTATAGCAAGAGTGTTTCTTTTATATTCGTGTTTTGGGATTTTTTTTTTTTTAAAACTACCTCTGCCGCCTGCACAGTAAAAGTGGTTACTGAGGATGGGAGGGGGTTAATTCTTTTGAGAAGTTCATTGGTAGCTGTACAGGTTTGCGTGCGCTCTCGCTCCCCCCCCCCCCCCCCCCCGTGTGTGTGTGTTGGGGGTGGGAGAAAGGGAAAGGGCTCCGTTTTCTGCATCCTGGCTGTCAGGTAGAATTACTGGACCTATCTTTTAAAAACATGGCTTGAATCTCTTTGTCCCTTTTCTACATATACAAAGTAGCTGGGATCATAGCAGAGCATGTTAAATGCTGCTCTTCTCCCTGCCCCCACTACGTGAATCTCAGGTCCATGTGTAAACTAGGAAAATTCACCATCAGTTCAGCTCCACCAGAGAAAGCAAGTGTGGGAGCTGCAGTGTGGACATGACTCAGGTTTTTTTTACTCAGAGAAGGCCATTTGGTAAAAGTGATTGAAAACTAAGCCCTGCCTACACTGACTTCTTCCAGTGGAGCTGCGCTAGTGGTGACCTGCATGTCAGACCTGAATGGAATCAGATAGCCATCATAAGGAGCTCTGCACAGCTGTTCTCTTCATAAGCTTTTAGTGGGCAACAGAGCCAACCTTACTGTCTAATATGCTGTGTGAAATGGCATCAAACCTCGGACCCACTTGAAAATGAGCACTGAGTTCCAGATTCCATTCATCAACCTCTGCCTGTATTCATAAATGTCTGGGGGAACATGAGCTGAGATTTTACATATAGGTGGGAAATCAGAAAGCATGCCTCCCCTGTTTTTCCCTCCACTCAAACTCACTCCTGCAGAAAGCCCTGAGGCAGGTACTAGGATACTTGAAGAAAGTAGAGGATGCTGGTGCTTGCTAAGGGAATTTGTTTGAGGAGGCAATGCAGGAAAGATATGTTTAGTGGCTTCCAAGATGTATGGTAGCTAGAGACTGGCCATAGAGGCAGTCTGAGCTCCATGCAAGCCTACTGGGTTTAGTTCCTAGGATGTTGTATGAACCAAACTGTAGGGTTCAGTTGGGGAATCCTTTATAAACTGAAAACTGTAGGATTCACCTTGTCCTATGTCCATTCCTGGCCTATCCAAGACACTGAGGGGAAGTGAATGCAGTGAAGCCTCTTTCACTGAGAGCAGCTCTGGATAAGCAGAGTGTTTCTTTTGCTGCAAGTCTCTTAAAATACTTCAGTCAAGGCAAAAATATTTAGAGAAGTGCTAAATTCCAAAGAATCCTCCTCCTCCACCCTAAAATGAAAATCTAAACGTAAGACAAACTATTTACCCGTTCGTACCCTTGCGGGGGGGGGGAGGGGTTTGAGAATGAGATGCACACTCCTTTCTTTTGTTTTTCAATCCATAGCTAGCGAGGTTTAAAACAAATTTGTATTGAAATCCTGTTCCAAGCCCCTCCCAATATGCATCTAATAATGGAAATTTTGGTCTGATTTTTCCCTTGGGGAAATGGAATGACTTTTGGCATTTTGCCTTGACAGACTTGACCAACAGGCCACATCAGAGCTGGACGATGATGCAGAACAAAGTTTCCACGACCCTCTATTTAATTGAAGGAAAAGCTGACTCCAAGCTCTGATGGCTCTGTAGCCAAGACTGCTGCATTTCCCTCCTGATAAAAATGGGTGTGTTTAGGTAGATGTCAGAAAATAACAGAACTTAAACATAAAGAGATATTTAACTAACTTTTTATCACAAAGTCTAGGGTTTTGTTTTAAAGTATCGATTTCATACTCCATTTGTGAGCTGCTTCAGAGGCCAGTGAAGTAGCTACAGGTCACCTTGGGCATGTTTTATAGGCTGATTTTTCTGCCTCACTTCGGAAGGCATTGGCAGTCTGGTCCCAATGGGATCCACTTTTATTTGAGTTTTCAAAAGGGATGTTTTCCATTGTTTGTGTATAATGTTTCTATGCTGCACACGTGTTCTTGTACACTTCACTTCCTGGGGAAAATGCACTCTGTCTTTATTGCTAGATTTAAAGGGGATATTTGGGGATTGCCTATGGATGGTCTTTTTATTTGATACTGTTTTAAAAGATCCTTTTCCATCTACAATACAAAGACGTATTTTGGCTTGTATCTGTTGATCTTGCACTGACATGACTTGAAATAGGCTCACATGCTACTGTAGTTCCTTTGTTTCTGCAGAATTAGATAGCTTTGAGTAGCTTGTTGGGTGATCTTGTCATTAGGCTAATCATATCTTCATCAGCAGGTATTGCTGTGACCTCACCTGGCTTCAGGGATTATACTGTATCCACTTGCCATAAGCGTTGCATGGGAGGTGGGGGGAATTAAAGGCAATGGCATTTTGCAAGTCTCTAGGGAATTATCACTACAGGAAAATGAGCTCCTTATTAGGTACCACTTATTGTATATACAGAGGTAAAGGAGGCTCTTCCATGGCTGACTAGTGGAGGAGCACAGGATTTACTTTTCCTGCCTCCCTCACTTCTTTTAATATTATAAACTTGAGTGGCTGCATTATACAGTCTGAGTTTAGCACATCATAGCTTTAGAAAACTTAGGGTGCTACCCGCATAGCATTTACTTACAGGGCTACATTTAGCCATGTTGGGCAAGCAGATTTCATTACTGGGTATTGAACTCCCTGCACTAGTAGAAAATGAGCCCATAACAGAGAGGTGCTTGGTCTCTAAAAATGTGCATATATAACGTCCCTTGGATGGCAAGTTAACATGACCCAGTTACTATCCGGTTCAAGAGCAGCTTTTAGCCTACTCTCCCAAACAGGCAGAGATGAATGGAAAGAGACCCTTCCAAAAAGGGAAAGGTACAAGACTGATCTAAAGCTACTTTCAATTTTTTTCTAGAATTTTTTAAAAAATCAAGTCACTGCCTGAGGAACCAAGTAGAAAGCCATTCACATTTGAGGATGGTACAGAAGTCCAAAGAGCTTGCCAGACCCTTATGGATTTGATAAAGACAGCGTGTTTGGTGAGACTCAGGTGTAGTTTTTAGATTCTGCCTATCACAACACTAAGAGTTCTCTGTTGTGGTAACAGACTTTGGTGCTAGATTTCTTATTCCCAATTCTAATGATATATATAGAGAAGAGAGGACTGTTAAGTTCAAAGCAATATAAATATATTTATTACTTGCAGGACTTAGCACTCCATTTTTCCACATGATGTACAAAGATTTTATACATAACTAGCACGAGGCTTGATTGGCTTATGAGATCTTGATGGCAGCCAAATAGGCTCAGCAAACCCATCAAATTCTGCAGTTTAAGATTGGATAGGAAATGGATGCCTTTGCAAATCCATCCCACTGTTGTGTTCAGGACAAAAGAGCAAGGCAAGTACGTTGGCAAGAAAAGTCACTGGATTAGGTAACCTTATCATAAGCCAAAAATATGATACCATACATAGCTTCTTCCGAACTAGCTGCTGTAGGACTGGTTACTGCCTACTGTGAGTTTTTAATACATTCACTAAGCACAAAGGCCCAGTCCTCACAGGTATTTAGGCTCCTAACTTCCATTGAAATGAGTTGAAGTTAGGAGGCTAAATACCTTTGAGGATCTGGGCCAATTGAACTGAGTGTGTCTGAAGACTTCTTAAATGTTGGTTGAACACTCTTTCAAATTAATGATGTTCTGAGCCACATTTTAGTGTGTTGCCTAACTTTTCCCAAATCATACAAATAGCCTTGTTTTTGAAGGCAGCCTTATGGGTGAAAGGTTAGAGTGGGTCATGGTTGGATACACTAATTATGGTATAAGCTTCATTATTGTAATTTGCCTTTTTTTAATATCATATTTGAAAACTGACCAGCAAAAATGGAGCAGAAGATTGGTAGGACTTCAGTGTCTCCATGCTGGATTCTAGCTCACCATAAATTGGATCTGTCAATGTGCTGCAGCATATCACGCACGGCAGATGAAATTGTTTGATCAGAAGACAAACGTGCTCTGTTTAGTCTGACAAACTTCAGAAGCAGAGGATCTAAGTGACTTAGCACAATCAAGCTGACACCTGTGATTGGCTCTGCTGTCCCATGAGTACCTGTGAAAGTCTCCAGCATTGCGTGAGGAATCAGATCTGGCTTTAGTGGTGAGGCTGAAGCTCTTGGTCAAGCAGAGTGAATGCATAGCTGAGTTTGTGAAGTCCAGGCAAAAATGAATACCTGCCTCTTCCAGAAGTCATCTAGCTCCAGTTTCCAAGAAGCCTCGTGAGAAGATACTTCCTGTGTTTCTCTTAAGGTCTCACGTTTCTCCTCCCTGTTCTTTTGTTTGTTTTTTTACTTGTGTTAAAGCCTTTGTAGACAATCAGAGGTCTGCTGGGAGGTTCCATCGTGGCTAGTATCACCGTGCATAGGCCTCTTTCTTATACTAAATCATTGGAATTGATGCACTTTTCCTGTGTTTTGCCTTTTTAAATTTGCTGCTTGTTCTTCAACCAATCAACCAACAAAACCCAATTTAAATGCATATTGTGTTTGTGTCCTTCCTGCTTGCTTTTTTTCTTGTTTTTTATATAATATATGCATTGAGAGTGAAATATGAAATGGAGAAGAAATATGCACAAGAAAATATGCCTATCAAGTCCCATCATTTTTGATAGGTATAGCAATTTAATCAAAAGGTTTTTAAAAATATTTTGGATGAATATTTTGCTTCTTTCTCTGTAAATAAGAGTGTATATAAGTTTGTGGTATATTATGACAGTTTTAAGTGGTTGCAAGAAAATTAAAAAACAAAACAAGAAACAGCTATTGCAGGGTTGTTTTTGTTTTTAATACAGTTGGGGGTAATGTTTTGTACACAAGATGGAAATAGGGGGAAAAAATGCAGCTTCCCTTTCCAATATGATAATTTGGGAACTTCATATGAAAGTTAAGTGCAAAGTACTTTACCACATCAGTTAACTAAGCCACACAATTCTTCTGTTAGTAGTTTTTCTGAGGTTGTGCAGCCCCATCACGTGCTAAGTCCTGTTTTTTACCTTTGCTTTCTTCCTTAGGGAGGACAGTTTTGGTGTTCTGTAAGTTGGAAAAATTGAGGCAAAGAAGGATGATAGCTTCCCCAGATCATGCAGTAGGTCAGTGGTGGAGATGAAAATAAAATCTTAGGAGTCCTTTGATCCATATTCTTCATCACTTTCCTTAACTGACCACAAGAGTGCTGTTAAAGTACAATTAAAACCAAACCATGTGGCAGCCTAATTATGCTGCTGCTGGCACTCCATCAGAACATAATTTATTTTTATTCATTTAACTCTGCACTTTTTAAAAAATAAAATAAAATAAAAAAATCTGGCTAAGCTCTGTCTCAATATCCTGTGGCACTGAGTTTCACAGGGCAACTTTGATTTAAAAAAAATAGCATTCCTTTCATGAGGTTTTTATTCTGGTTTTCAGTAAATGAGTGAGTGCCTTAAAGTTTGTTCCTCTGCGTACAGCTTAATTGTCCTGTACACATTTTACACCACCCACTTAAAACAAGTGAGATGTAGCAGTGGGAGTGGGATAGAATTGCTTCTTCTAAATTGAACTGAAATCCTGTATATTAAAAGATATTTTTAAGTTACATCAGCATTTGCTTATATTGCACCTTGCATCACAGAGGTGCCTAATATTTTGCAAATTGTGTAGTCAGTGAAGACTGTCTTTTGCCCCTTTTAAACTCTGAGCTTTGTCAGAGGGGAGCCCCACAAGAGCCATGTCAGCTTGCAACTGCTGTGAGCCCTACAAGAGGTGTTACGGGAGATGCTCAGTTGGAAGCCTGGAGTGTGGGGCTCCTTGGTGAGTAAAAACTTGGTCCCAAAGCTATAACTTATTTCTGTGAGGTGTCCAATGTTCTGTGCATGCCAGATGCACTATAAGTTTAACCAGCCTGAGATTCCTATTCATGGAAAATACAGGTACAAAGGCCTAACGGAGTTTATAACCTTATAACCAGCCAAGTCATCAGAGCTTGGAACCTGCATGTGCACCACTGATGAAATATGGGAGTGAACTTACTCATGTAGAGTGGTGGTGTTAAGGGGGTGCAGTGCTAGACAATACCGTGGTCCGTGTGACTGTTACCCCTCCTGGGTGAGCTGTTGTTTGGTGAGCTGTGCCCTACTTGAATCCTTCGAGCGATTGCCCATATGTATTCCCCAATAAATGTGCATGCTCGCCACATGCACCAGTGCCGGAAGTTTTTCCCCTAGCGAACCCTGGAGTGGCACCTCCATGGCGCGGTATAAAGGGCGCTGCGCATTCTCCCCACCCTCAGGTCCTTCTTGCCGCCAGTGGAGATGCTTCAGAACTGCTCTGCTCCAGCTTCTCTGTAGCTCGTCCCCAGAACTGCTTGTTCATTCCATGTATGGTACCTGTAATTAGTTAGTTTTAGTTCAGCTAGAGCTCCAGGGCCAGGGCATGCCCCATGCCCCGGGTTTTAAGTCGTGCGACACTTGTAGGCAATTTATGCCAGTGAGGAATCCACACGTGGACAGTTTATGCTGTTTGGGGGAAACCCATCTCAGCGATTGCTGCAAGATTTGCAAGCCGCTTAAGCTTCGGACCAAGAGAGAAAGGGACATTAGGCTCCAGGCTATTCTTCAACAACTATTCTGCTATGTTAGCAACAAGAAGAAAGTCAAGGAAAGTGTGGGCCCCTTACTGAATGAGAGAGGCAACCTAGTGACAGAGGATGTGGAAAAAGCTAATGTACTCGATTCTTTTTTTGCCTCTGTCTTCACAAACAAGGTCAGCTCCCAGATTGCTGCACTGGGCAGCACAGCATGGGGAGGAGGTGACCAGCCCTCTGTGGAGAAAGAAGTGGTTCAGGACTATTTAGAAAAGCTGGATGAGCACAAGTCCATGGGGCCGGATGCGCTGCATCCGAGAGTGCTAAAGGAGTTGGCGGATGTGATTGCAGAGCCATTGGCCATTATCTTTGAAAACTCATAATGATCGGGAGAGGTCCCGGATGACTGGAAAAAGGCTAATGTAGTGCCCATCTTTTAAAAATGGAAGGAGGAGGATCCTGGGAACTACAGGCCAGTCAGCCTCACATTGGTCCCTGGAAAAATCATGGAGCAGGTCCTCAAGGAATCGGTTCTGAAGCACTTAGAGGAGAGGAAAGTGATCAGGAACAGTCAGCATGGATTCACCAAGGGCAAGTCATGCCTGACTAATCTAATTGCCTTCTATGACGAGATAACTGGCTCTGTGGATGAGGGGAAAGCAGTGGACGTGTTGACTTTAGCAAAGCTTTTGACACAGTCTCCCACAGTATTCTTGCCAGCAAGTTACAGAAGTATGGTCTGGATGAATGGACGATAAGGTGGATAGAAAGCTGGCTAGATTGTCGGGCTCAACGGGTAGTGATCAATGGCTCCATGTCTAGTTGGCAGCCAGTGTCAAGTGGAGTACCCCCCAAGGGTCGGTCCTGAGGCCGGTTTTGTTCAATATATTAATGATCTGGAGGATGGTGTGGATTGCACCCTCAGCAAGTTTGCAGTTGGCACTAAACTGGGAGGAGCAGTAGATACACTGGAGAGTAGGGATAGGATACAGAGGGACCTAGACAAATTAGAGGATTGGGCCAAAAGAAATCTGATGAGGTTCAACAAGGACAAGTGCAGAGTCCTGCACTTAAGACGGAAGAATACCATGCACTGCTACAGAATAGGGACCGAATGGCTAGGCAGCAGTTCTGCAAAAAAGGACCTAGGGATTACAGTGGACGAGAAGCTGGATATGAGTCAACAGTGTGCCGTTGTTGACAAGAAGGTCAATGGCATTTTGGGATGTAGAAGTAGGGGCATTGCCAGCAGATCAAGGAACGTGATCGTTCCCCTCTATTCGACATTGGTGAGGCCTCATCTGGAGTACTGTACAGTTTTGGGCCCCACACGACAAGAAGGATCTGGAAAAATTGGAAAGCGTCCAGCAGAGGGCAACAAAAATGATTAGGGGACTGGAACACATGACTTATGAGAAAAGGCTGAGGGAACTGGGATTGCTTAGTCTGCGGAAGAGAAGAATGAGGGGGGATTTGATAGCTGCTTTCAACTACCTGAAAGGGGGTTCCAAGGAGGATGTATCTAGACTGTTCTCAGTGGTAGCAGATGACAGAACAAGGAGTAATGGTCTCAAGTTGCAGTGTGGGAGGTTTAGGTTGGATATTAGGACAAACTTTCCCCCTAGGAGGGTGGTGAAGCACTGGAATGCGTTACCTAGGGAGGTGGTGGAATCTTCCTCCTTTGAAGTTTTTAAGGTCAGGCTTGACAAAGCCCTGGCTGGGATGATTTAGTTGAGGATTGGTCCTGCTTTGAGCAGGGGGTTGGACTAGATGACCTCCTGAGGTCCCTTCCAACCCTGATATTCTATGATTCTATGATGGAGTCGGCGCTGACCCCGGCTCTGGTGTGCCGCTCCAAGTCTGCACCAGGCACTGTGGTGTTGGTGCATGGCAACCCTTCAGCACCATCAACTAGTAGGCACCGCTCCCATAACCGGGGCATGCCAAGAAGACTAGCAAAAGGCCTTCTTCACCGCAGCACCGGAGTAAACCCGGAACAGAGGCTAGACCCACGTTGTGCAGTCCTCAATCCCCACCGGCCCCTAGGCCTCCGACTCAAGTGAAGTGGAGTAGCCTGGCCCATTCGGAGCAGGCCTCCCCGGATGTCCGGATGCCCTCCACATTGGACGCTCTGCCGGCAGCCCAGGATGTTATGTCCATGCTGGTACCCGGAGCACCGCCGATGTCAGCCCCACGCTCCAGTGGCAAAGCGCCATGGGGATCTCCACAGTCACCCGGCTTGATTCCGGTCTCGGTCGAGACCACCCAGCGACCGTTCAGGGCAAAGTCCATGTGGATCGCCCTCGACGCCCACCAGACAGTCTGATTGGGTTCCGTCTGACCGAGACACTCAGCACCACTCCGCCTCAAGGCGCGAACGCTGACGGGACCGAGGCAGACAGTGCCAAAGGTCCTCGTCTTGGAGGAGCTACCGCAGCCGGTCACGGCACGAACATCAACATTGTTCCCATTCGTCGTCCCACTCCAGGACCCCACCACGGCACTGCCTCCACAGCCCCGGGTGTCAGTCGCCGGCATCTGGGCATCGTGGGTCTGCCCGCCGGAGGCAATCATGGAGCAGCTGTTGCCAACAGTACCAGTCCTCCACGTCGGGATCGCGGTCCCATGGTCAGCATCGCTCCCGGCGCCGCCACTCTTCCTGGTCCAGGGACAGCGGCAGGTCATGTGCCAGCCTGGCCTCCCTTCGTCGTTGTCCATCGATGGGCCAGGCAAGCCAAGCTGAACAGCCTGCAGGTGCAGTGGCACCAGGCCCCGACGCAGCCCCCGGTGGGGGCCCGCTCGGTGGCTGGAGCCTCAGAAAGGCCTTCAGCCTCCCTCTCCAGACCCCCAAGGAAGGAGTCAGTGGGACATGCATCCTCGGCACCATGCCCGGAGACCGACCAGGTGGTGGACCCTCTAGTGCCGGTTGACACACAAAGTACCACATCGGCCGCCTCACCCTCCCCAGATGAGGCAATTACGGCCCCTCCTTCCTGCAGGAGGACTTGAGGGCCCATCAAGAACTCTTAAAAAGGGTGGCATCAAGCCTCCACCTCCAAGCAGAAGAGATGGAGGAGCTCTCGGCCTCCCTGTTTAGTGTACTGTCCTCCTCGGCACTGGGCAGGGTGGCCTTGCATCTCCACGAAAGGGTGGCAAATATTTCAAATGCCCTGTGGCAAGCTTCATTGGCCCCCATC